GGAGTATGTTCGTAATACAGAATTTCCCTTTTGAAATCAAACAATCAATCAAACAGGTCATGGGTACTCAAAGACAACGTTGTAGTCGACTGTAGGTTACAGAACCTTGTAATCTCCTTCCCAATGTCACACACTCTGTATAGGTTTATAGTGTTTGTTAAACGATAGTGAGACTTGGCCTCCACGCAACGCGGACGCAAATCAAATTTCTGTTTTCGCATATCAGAAGAGCAATAAAGAGATTCATCGTTATGTGTTGGACGTGGATAGTCCTTCTCCAAAACAAACAAATGGTTTTCGATCCGCCTCCGATGGTTCGGTCGTGTTTGATGCCCATGTGTTGGTCAAGACTGAAGAAACGAGGTGGCAGTTAGAACATTTCCTGGCGTAGGCATACGAAGAAGTTTGCCTTATCAATTGGTTCTACGGGCCCTCTAGGTCGGGGCAGATGGGATGAGGACTGGGGCTGGTTGCAGGAGAAAATGGCCAGAAAACAAGATGGTGACATGAATGCTGCACGGGCTGTTTTTTGAAGTCCCGTGACTCACGAGAAGGGAAACAGATACAAAACAAACAAACAAACAAACAAAAATAGTTTTCTGTGACAGAAGTAAACAAATAATATTGCTAATCTTGTTCTATTTCTCTCTGATCTGTTTCTCTACATTTTCTTTTTTTCTCATCTGGACCCACAAATGTTTATGATGTTTTTTCACAAGCAGCATGGAAAAATTCCACCGCGAAGCAAGTGACTGGTTCAGTCAGCTTAAGTATTTATAATCGGTCATATTTGACCCAAATAAATGACACCAATGGATAGACGGCTGTCGTGAGGTGCTACTTACATTTGTGAGTAGTAGGTAACACAGTTGGTGATTTATTTGGACGATCAAAATTAACAGGATAACCAAGGGCAAATTTATGGGTCTCAAAGAATAACTATCGGTTGCTACATTCATTAACTGTTGTGCTGCCAAGAACTGCGATTGTATGTTTCTGATGACATTTCTTTGTTATGTGTGCCACATTGGTGATATCCCAACTGTAATCAACTGTAATCAACAAGTATCCTCCACTGCGCACCGTCTTGTAGAATTATAACACGGCCAATCTTGAATGTGTGACAACCTAACTAACGGAATGAATAGATCTCCATTCTCATTGAATACGCATGATCCTAATTGTTGATGGTTGCTTTTCATTCATCAATCAGGTTTGTCTCTATGATTGCAATGCTACGCTTCCTAACATGAAGTTAAAAAATTAAAAGGGGTATCCAAACAACGGAATACCTTATGTTTCTGAGTTAAGGTACATCGTTCTAGTACCGCGATTTCACCTTGGTAACATTATTATTATTATTATTTTTATGGGTAACACAAATCGATCACCTATAAAGGCATTACAGCCTCAGAAATCGTGCATGGCATGTAAGCATTTCGGTTAGATATCGTTTTGTTCAAAACGCGAGTCACACAGTGTAAAAATGAGTCAGCTTCGACGATGTCTCGTATGATGGTTAAAAATTTCCCAGCCTTCCAGGTGAGAACAAGTCTAAATGCAGGCCATATAAATCCTAGATATATGGCAAACATGAACACCCAGTTGTCAGTTTTTATTTTCTTGTCATCTTTCTGTGAAGCTGAATCGGACCCTGACGAACCCAGTTCATCTTCCTTGTGCTTAAATAAAGAGAAGTGAAATTAAAAACCGGTTTGCTGAGTATTGTCTCAGTAATAATAGTAATAATAATAATATAGACACCGTTTCTGTCGACAGAACAAGACAAAATGGGATGGCTTGTTTCTCTTTGAATAGAAAACAAATGCAGGCCCGAGAGTTTTGGCTTCTGCCCTTATTTGTTGAAAGACAGTCTAACAGGCCAAAATACTGAAACTCAGATAAGTGAATAAAGGCCAAAATATAGGTCATCATGAAGATACGGATGACAAAACAAAGTGCGTGAAACTGTGTGCATCCACGTTGATGAACATAGTGAGCATAAAACCAATCTAATGGTTTATTTGAGAGTAGAATAAAATGGGCACATTTGGTGGCTTTCAAGTTCCGTGTTTTCGAACATGCGTGTGCACAGGCGTGCGGCGGCGGAGCAATAAAGTGCGGAAAGGTTTGTGCGTTGGTTCAAAGATAATAGTGTCACTAGCACCTCATTTCAAACTATCATATTTTCCGGCTTTGAATCAAGCGAAGCTTCCTCGTAATCTTTGACCAATGAAGTCATATTGATCAGTGCATCATTGAATTCCGACTCTTCCATTCCCTCACCCACGTACCAATGGATAAAAGAGCGTTTGGAAAAGAGCAGATAAAATTTATGCGTCAGACGTTGCCACGCTTGACCGACCGCGGAATTGTTAGCCAACATGACGACATTTTTATCGCACTGAGCTACACGACTGTCCACAATAGACACGGGTGGCGATGAGCTGATTCCTACCTTGAATCCCGTGGGGCACCAGTCGACGAATTCTATTCCTCGACTGGATTTCAGCTCCATCAAAGACAGATACACTTGACTGGGACTCACATCTCCCCGATAGAGGAGGGTGCATGACATAAATTTCCCATAGGTCGGATCTACCTTGACCATTTGATTCTCTTTGTCAAACACCGCACGTGTCAGTTCGCGCGTGGTCAACATTTCGTGTTCCGCCTTCTCGGGCGAGATGCACGGGGCGAAATTGCTGAGCGGGAAATGAATACGCGGATAGGGGACCAGATTGGTCTGGATCACATTCAGATCTCCGTTCAGCACGTTGGGAAACCGGAGAGAGGCTGTGATGGCACTTGTGGCCTGGGCGATAAGACGATTAATGGAAGTATAAGTTGTGGTTGTGAAGGCCAGAAAACGAGAACAAATATCATACAGAGCCTCATTGTCCATAAGCAAACCGAGCTGAATATCTTCCATGGCAAAATGTTCACCTAGTAGGCTATTATACGGTTCCACAAGAGAATTGGACAACGACGGTGAAGGATAGACAGGGATTTCAATTTTGGTCAGTTTGCGGTAGTCAGACATGACGTCCAGTAGGGCAGCAGTCAGACCGGCCCCAGTACCACCTCCGAGACTTCGGTAGAGAATAATTCCCTGAGGGGCTTCACAACTTTCCAAACTTTTCCTTACTTCGTTCAGAATGGGTGAGATAAGTAGTTTTCCAATGGTGAAAAACCCTCGAGCAAAATTGTTTGCGGCATCTTCGTAACCAGTGATCAATTTATCTGGATGATATAATCTTCTCCAAGGACCAACACGAATTTCATCTGTGACCAAGAGGGACGGAAGAGTTTGGGGAATAAAAAAAATGAGAATTGGAATAAAAATAGAAATACTTAATAAAAAATATACAGAATAATCATTGTTTGGAACGCTGAATGTTTCCATCTTGAAGTTTCCTAGGCAAAAGCGATCCTGCACCACGAACTTGCTTCTCGTTCGAGATGAATGGACCAGTACAGTTGACGAAGGGAATGCGGTGGATGTGATTTATCTCGACTTCGCGAAAGCATTTGATCGAGTGAATCACAAAATTTTACTGCAGAAGCTCTATAATTATGGCGTTCGAGATTTCGCATTTGGGTGGATCAAAGCATTCCTCGATCAACGAGCCATATCAGTTCGTGTTTCTGATTCTGTATCCGGGCCCATCAGAGCCACCCGCGGTGTTCCACAAGGATCCGGTACTCGGTCCCCGTCTGTTCCTCGCCTTCGTAAATGATCTACCGAAAGTGTTGGGCTCAAAAACAATACTGTTCGCAGATGGCGCCAGAATCTGGAACACGGTAACAGAACCAGAGGGCTCTCAAACACTTCAGGAATCACTCAACGCATCTTATCAATGGTCTAAGGAGAACGACATCGAATTTAATGTTTTTAAATGCAAAGTCCTATCCCTATGCCACAAGCGGAAATTCTCATATTTCCTCGGGGACCAGCAGCGACCACATACTTCTAGCGAAAAGGACTTACAGATTGTTGTTCAAGAGGATTTCAGCTGCTCCAAAAACTGTGCTAAGGCTTCGTCTGCTGCTATGAAGAATGTCGGCTTACTTCGGCGAGTCTTTGGCCGGTTTGAATCATCACTATTCCCACGTTTGCTATCAGCGTACGTTCAACCCTATACAGAGTACGCCATCCAAGCTTGGAGTCCATGGCTTCAACGTGATCGCAAGATGCTTGAGCGTTCACAAAGGATGGCCACCAAGATGGTCAAGGGATTCCATTACCTGACATACGAGGACAGATTGCGATCATTGGGACTATATTCTGCTCAGTATCGCCGAACTCGAGGAGACTTGATTTTGACGTATCAAATACTGCAGAACCCAAACCATCCGTGTCGATCGCTGCTCATGTTATCGAAAAATGTACACCTAAAGGGACATCGTTTCACACTACTGATTCCCAAGTGTCGACTGGATTGCCGGCTCCAGTCTTTTGCAGTCAGAGTATGCAGATCTTGGAACGCCCTTCCATCTCATGTCGTTTGTGCACCCACTATTGAATCTTTCAAGCAGAGGCTCGACGAAACCTTGGCACACCTCACATTTGTACTCTAGTAAAGGCAAACGGAAATTCACTGTAGCCTACATTCTTTATTATCTCCTACCCGGATCTCTATGTGACCCCTTTTTCGATGTGTGACGATTCATCTGTGTAAACATCCTATGGGGCAAGAGAAGCACGCACTTGTAAGTTATTCCCATAATAAAACTTTGACTTTGACTTTTCTAAAAAGAAACCTGATATACAATCACGGAACAATGTAGGCCATTGTTGCATAAACGTGCACCAACATGTGTGTAATGATGAGCGATGTTTTCACTTTTCGTCCATCACAAGTTTTGAGATTGTAAAATTTACCTGCCGGCCTAATTCGAGGACATCCAGTCGGTACTATTGTTTCGGGGCAATGTTGAGATCGGTTTATCCGCTCGATCATATCACGCGATTCAAAGTCAGAAATGCTATCGATCTATTGATCGCACCGTGGGATCACAATGAAACCAAGTCGGCAAAAGAACGAAGCTTCTAATCGATCTGTTTAGTTTGACTGAGCCTATTATTACCAATCGACATTCCCGATCCCATATGGAAAATGTGCATGTGTATCCGCTTGATATTGATAAGTTTCACGTAAACTATCTTATTAGTGTTAGTATTGAGGCATTCGCGAGTAATAAACTGTGTTCCCTGGAGTATGAGTTCTTTTTAGATCTACCATATTTAGGTTAAGCGCTTACCGATAGAATGATACAATACACTTGGGGTAACCACAACAGGATTACATTTTTCTAGCTCTCTCAACTGACAGAACTGATTGGTGGGTAATTTCAGTAATCACCACAAGTATGGGAACATTCAGAATTTAGCTTCTTTCGTAATCCTAATGCAGTTTGTACAGTCATTAAGAACATGTGGAAATACTTCAAAACGTTGTTAGCATACAAATTATTCAACAATTTAAGCAGACAGGATGCAACAATAGTATAGAGAAAGTGAACCACTAAGAGCGATTTTTTCGTAACTTCATTTTAGCCCAGTTCCATCTATTTGTTCAAAAAGGTCAACTGCATACTCACTGTTTGCTTACCGCTGACCAGCCTTTTGCTTACGAAGTTGCTAATATTCAAAACTACCTTTGGCACACCAAGATCTTGACTTTTTGATATATTTGCCTGGAAAACAATCCCCAGATGTTATCACCAGTGGACGGAGTAATGACTGCAAGCCAGAAATTACTAAAAATTTATTCCACAGAAAAACCAATCACTTCTTTGGGATGCACGACGTGTCAGAATGGTATAGCCGTATTTGAAGGATGGGCTCCCATCCACAGATGATTGGATGAGCGTTGAAATTAAGTGTTCAAGTGTGGTTAGTTCATTGCATTTTGAGTGCCTTGCAGCAGATTATCAGCAGATTACAACCAGCTTAGATAAACAAAATCCTCTGCCGTTTTTAGTTGTGCATTGTTTATTAAATACGATTCATTTCCACCTGGTATCATGGACAAAGAAATATAAACTAACCGATACGGTCAAGTTACATTTTGTCTCGTTAGTAAGCATTACTGTGATTGATGGGTCTGCCAGACATGAATTTCAGTCCACCGCAATCAACACCGAATTTGGAGGTGGTTTGAAGAAACCACCCTTCCCACCTTCATAAACTTGAGTAAGGGTGTGTCCGATAAACATTTTTTTTAATTAAAATGATAAATCGAAGCATTATTTCAACTTTTCTGTCTTGTTAGTCTTCGATTGCTCGCGAATCGGATTGTGTTACTCCTTGTTCTCTCAGTTTGATTGTTGAACCGTCTGCATTGTTTAGGCCTTCCTAGAACTGGCAGTCACTAGATAACCATTATTCGTTTTCCTTCAATTTTCACAGAAGCATATTGTTTTTTTGTTGTTGTATGCTTATGCACAACTGTGTGAACTACAATCGTTCCACATTATTTCCAATGTGACAATCGTCTCTTACTCTCTCCCTCTCTCACTCCACATGTGACAAGTTTCCACCTCATGTCACACTGCGCAAAGCAGCGCAAATGGCAAGGTCACTCTTATTGCCAGTAGGATTCAAACACTTGCTAGGAAATAGTGCTGATGGTTCAAGCCTCAGTATCTTCATCGCGCAAAAGAGACTACCTCTTACACGATAATACGCCATTGGAAACAATCCAGTTGCCTGTAAACGACCTTGATAACTGCTTCCATTTGATTCAGTAGCTAGTATAGTTGTGGATCATTATACACGCTGCGACTGGTCAAACTCAGCATCCGGACAAGGGCTGTCACTGCACCACTATACTCAAACTCTATCTCACGTGAAAGGCGCACAATAATCTGAAGATGCCTACAGTTTATCGATTAAAAGGAGCTCCTAAGCAGTCCCAGGATGCTCCATCTGATATTTAAAGTCTTTATTTAAAAAGTTAAGATAAAAATAACAGTTCCGCTTCGCATGATTATTATGATTATTATCATGATTATCATTATGATTATTGAGAACCCGTGGACTAGCTCCGAAGGGATGAACTCACGGGGAAAGACACAGAGGCACATTCAACAGTGGTAGTTAGAAAGGTGCTCATATTCACCTGCTTAACCAGCGTATTTAGGTTTTCCTGTAGATGCTTGCAATCCTCATAGTTCCAAATCCTGGTGTTGATATCATATGTGTAGGTAATGGTGGAGAAGCATCGTGGGAGCTCAGGCAGGTTGTTTTTATAGACTACGAACAGCAGCGAATCCAGGGAAGAGCCATGAGGCGATACCTTCGGACATGATCCCAAGTGGATAACGTCTAGACAATACAGACACACATTGTTGTTGTGCAGGGAGTCATGTGGCTATCGCCACAAAGGATCTCCAATACCTAGTATGACCAGCTTTACAGAAAGCAATTAAGCTCTCTGGTTAAGATCACGGAGAAACGGTACGGAGCGCTGTTTAGTTCGACCTTTCTCACTCGTCAGCGGTTGCCTTTCGTCGTGAGGTTTCCTGAAACAATGTACTACCCTCACCCGCATCGATACCACATTATTTGTAAACAACTGTCCAGATGCTGAGAAAAGACCGAAAGCAAAAATTGCTTCACTCGAACCAAAACGAATGGCCAACCGACTAAGCGACCTAGGTAATCAGCGAACAGCGCTATCACATGGTAGCGAACAAACGAGTGTCGAACACATTGTGATGGAACAAAATGTCAGCATATACGCACGCCATTCCGGAGCCCGTATGCGGTGTGCTGTCGCCAAGGTTTGTTGCTCCAACGAAAAGGCCCCAATCGGTAAAAAATAAAGCAGTGGGTAGCACTGCTTGGGCAGTTATTTGTACAAATTTACCCGAAAACACAGCGCAACTACCGAGACGGGAGAAACAACTTAATCACTCTATGTGATCTGTTCTCAAATGCGAATCGCTGCACAAACATACCGGTTTCGGACATTTTGAGCCCCAGCTGGGTTCATCTCATACCATAGAACCTAGCTCACTTCAAATGAACGAATCAGATGTAGTAAATGTTCCTCTATCCAGTTGAATCTAATGGACAAAGTCCAAGCGAAACCAGAATTTTACCGGACAGATCTTGCACTGACTCTATGAATCAGAGGATACTACTGAAATGGTAGGAGCAGTAAATGCGAACACACGGTCCTACAACTGAACGATACTGATGCACCAAAATGTGAAGATAGTTAGCTCAATCAGCGACGAATCAATGAGGATGCTGTTGCCCGTTGTCATGTCTC